CTATACACCATACATTACTGGAAAACTCATTAATTCAGCTTCCTGATTAAGTATATATATTAATTTTTTAAAAATTGTCCCTTTTTTTTAGTTTTGTGGTGCATGGTCACATATGTAAATAAATTCTTACCACTGGGTCAATATGTTCATTTATTGATGGCTTTGTCTGCACACATTTCATCCTGGTGGCAAAGCGAAGAGTTGAAAGCTGCCAAGAGAACCAACAGGTTTTAGAGGCTGGGTGGATTTATTACATTTAACTAGCATTACTAGATTTATGATTTTTTAAAAACTTACTGTCTCCTCAATTTGTGAAGCATCACCATATATGTTCGCCACAAGCACTGTATTACAGTTTCCTCCTATGTTATCACAGTGGAAATCGTTAGGCAAAACGTCCAATTTATAATTACATTATTTATCTCAGAAATTAAAATTTAACCATGTTTAAAGTGATTTTTCTTTTTTTTGTCTTTGTGATCTCACTAACCCAGTGAGTCTTTGAGTGCATGTGTAAGTTTGCTCTGTCTGAAAGGAACATGCTCCCTACGACTGTCAGCTAAAGCCAAGATGACCTGCTCCAGGAAAGACAGGGACTTGTTGATATACATGGCCTCCATTTGGACTTGGCCCTCTGACTGGAGTAAAATAAAATGAAAAAAAGAAATTTAAAGATTTAAAAGGCACAATTTGGAATATTTACATTAAAACATCCAAGACCACTAAAACCGTATTCTTTATTTTGCTGACTTAATGTGTATACATTATGCCAAATGTTTCAAAACATGTTCAAATCCAGAAAAATAAAAGTTCACAAGTGATATGGATCACGAGCGAAAAACCCATAAACAGTCGCTTTTGCTGCTTTCATGCTGTTTCGCTCTCGTCTCTCATCAGAAATTGCTTCACTGCTTTTGTTTTGCATTGATGGCTTCCATCTTTACTCTGATTCATGCTACCTAGATTCATCAGCCATGAAATCATCAAACTATGCCTTTGTTTGTTGTGAATATGTGTCCTCTAGAGGCAAAAATAAAATACTGTGCCTTTAAGAGCTTATCAGAATTAACTCACAAGGGTGCTCAATTCTGTTCCTGAAGGTAGATCTCCAGGAACAGGATTGTGCACAACTGCAAACAGTGCTGAATGTGACCTTACACACTGAAGAGTGGTTCTTGTGGTCTTGGTGAGAGAAGAAATTAACTGACCCCAGTTTTGCTAAGTCTTTCTGATCCTGCCAGGTCCACCAGGTTCAGTTTAGAGGTGATGTATTTTGCCTCTGACAGTGTGCGAGAGCGAGACTATGCCACATAGAAACAAAAAATGCAAAAATATGTCATCTTATGTAAAAAGGGCAGTTTCAAAATAGATTTTAACATTCAGTCATAATCTTGAGAATATGAATACAAAGAGACATGCTGTTGACGTACCTCAATGTGGATGGTAAATATACAATGAGACCTGGAGGAATGCTTATTAAGAGCATGTTCTCCAATAATTCGGTTCATTTCTCCCTGTCAGTGCAATAAAATCAATGTTATTTATCACAGATGTGCCTGTTTTGTCTAAATTTGTAGCAAAATATGAAAACAGAATTAAGCATTTGCTGTATACAACCCCATTTTTGTCATGTTTGCCATAGAGATTTTTTAAGGGAAGATTATACTGTAGTTATGTTGTTTATCATTAGCCAATTTGTCAACAGAGATTAACGATTAAACAAAAAACCTTTGCCCCTACCAAAGCAAACACAACATGATAGGAAATCTGTTTACTAGAAATAGAGTATTTTTGTGTAAATACAGCATAGATCAAAAATGGAGAACAACCTGCAATTTCCAAAATTTCTATGCCACTGTTTAGTCCTATTTGAAGTTATCCTAACTTAGATAAAAGAGCAGTTTTTAGGGAAATTTCTCCAGTTTTTCGAACACTATTTAACTGACTTTGCAAGATTGAAAGCTGCTGTAAAATCCCTGATAGCAGACTGTTCTGATTAAGGTGGCCAAAATGATCACTCTTTTTAGTCATTGTAGACAAGCTGGTCATTCTGATTCTGTGATTTCTAGAATATTGCATTTTACATACAGTAGTCCTCCCTGGTTGTCCACGAAATACATACAACAGGATATTGTGGAGAATCTCGATAGTATATTGGTTCAACACTGCAGCTGGAATTGTTTATTAGTTCAGCTCTGAACAGGATTTTTAGATTTATGTACTGGGTCTTCATGTTTAAGAGAATTTGAACTAAAAGCCCTAAAGTGACCAAACCTATCATCAGACTAACATTTACTGAGAAGCATGTTGTGTGAACAGAAAAAGGAATGTGTCAATAGAGCCGGCATTTAGTACAGGGTAGCGCTCCTTTGAAATTAATGTTGGACCAAGGTGCAGAAGAGGACTGGCCATCCAGAGCCAGAGATATATACACATATATACATATATCGATGATCTGTAGTTGTCCCGTTGATCAAAATGCTAATTTTTTTTAATTATGTAGGATATAATTTTACATCACTTTTCTATATAAATGGATAAGGGACAGCACGGACATTCCTGATAAAGAGCATGTGTTTGTGTGCATGAAAATGTATTATCTTCCCTACCTGTTAAATTTGATTTGTTTGTAAATGAATTTGTTATGAACGACGTTCTCTTAGCTGACAATAATTTCTAGCACCGCTGCATCTCGTCATATTTCATTTACATTGTTTGTTGATTTTATTCAATCAAACTAACATAAGCCTAGTATTTGAGTTAGTGGTACGTTGAGCACAAAAGTTTGTTATATATAAAACATAAAAAACTAAATCTTACCTATGAAATGTTCTGCCTTTGTACTTTGTTTTCTTTGTTTGCTCATTACTACACCCCTACACAGCGCTAAAGTCCAGCATCTTCAGATCGGCTTTAGTCTTGATTAGTGCGGTTGAATGACATTTGTCCTGGGAGCACTGTACAACTGTGGCGACTCTATTGACGCATGCTCCGGGTCTGTATGCTATATCTAATGTATATTATCTATGCATAAAACATTGAAATATTGTAATGGCTAGTCCAGAGTTCTGATTTACACCTGATTGAAAATCCCTGGCAACAATGTAAGGGCTAAGAAACAACTATATTCAATACTGTATATTAAGCTGATCACATCAGCTGATCATCTGTTGACATGCACAACTCATGACTCTCACCTCGAAAAGCAGATTAAGAGCCTCTTCTTCATTGTGAACCAGATGTACAGACAAGCCTTTAACTGACACTCCGCCACCTGGTTCTTCGACCACAGTGAAGAGACCACTACCTGGAGCCTTTCCCTGCTTTAAGCTGGAGAGCAAGTCTACCATAGTCTCATTATAGATTTCCAGAAAGGAAAGATGAACAGAGAAGGTATAATCTGCACGCTGTTCCACTTCCTGGAAAACCTAAGGAATTGACAGATGGTTTATAGCCCATAAATCATAAACGTGTGCTTGTTGATCATGGGTATCAATCACCTCTTGTATGGCTCGAGGAATGATGCCTCTCTGTTTGTAAGTCTCTGCAGCACCAGTCATTGTGTAAGTTTTCCCTGCTCCGGTTTGCCCAAAGCACATTATTGTACCTAAACACACCAAAAAAATTACCAAGCACTTTATTTTTAATGTTTTAACTTGGTTTGTGATTTCAGGAAATGCCAAACGTTTTCAAATGACCAACCATTGTAGCCCTTGAATGCTCCCAGCACTACACTCCGGGCAACACGATCATACAGGTCCTCTTGTGACACATTATACAGCACCCCATTCAGCTGAAATAACCTCACATGATTATTTCTCTTTCCTTTCTTGGAACCCTTCCTTGATCGTACTCTTAAAGTCTCAGAAAAAACAAACAGAAGGACAGTGACACTCAGTCTTAAATATTACTTTCATACAATCTTTTTTTTAATGTGGACACGTTTCCAGTGGTTGGGCTCAGATAATGTGTGCTGTGTTATTCACCTGTGATCTCAAGACTTGCTGAAGGTAAAATAATAATTTACGCACCACTATAATAATAATAATCCTTCTTTAAAAGTTTTACAGAGATCCACTAGTTTAATTTCTATCTAAATAATTTCCCCTCTTTCCTCTTCAATGTCACATATTTTATATTATAATCTGTCTACCTTTTATCGTTTGGGACATTTATGTTTTTCTCTAAGTATACGGAATAACATGCTTTAATGTTATATTGAAAACCAAAATAGCTACCACATACAATATATCTATGAAATGTAATTTAAGAAAATTTACTTTAAGGTAAGCGATTTACACTTTATCTTTTTTACGTTTCTGTAAAGTTTAATATAATAAATGTATTAGGCCGTTATAGTCATCGATACTGTATTTTATTATTTGTAAAAATATACTGGCATACATTGTGCTGTTATATAAGCTCTAGGAGGTGTATTTACTGTAAAAAAGACAAGTGTGTTTACCTGCTGGTCTGGCAGGCATTCAATAAGCTCATGGGCAAAACTGGCTGTGGGTCGGATGCGAATATACACCTTTACTGTAGAGCCATGTGAACTCATGATTCCTGTACATACAGCACGAAAAATATTGTCCAAATAGTTCATTAAAATGTCGCGTTTTGAATCTAGAACCAGTAAATCATAATAATAGTAAACCTAGCGGTTAGAAACGTCAGAAACTCACCTGTGTAACCGACACACAGCCTCGCTGTTGTTGGATACAGTGCTGTTGCTATGACAATAAATCGAGCATGCGCGGCGCAACACCTTTGTGAAGCCAAAAATATTAATTTGCAAACATTATTGTCATATTGTCCAGGTACCAAACTTGCCAACATCAAAAGAAAAACTTTAAAGTGTAAAGGTATTAACAAAAAAACTAACTCTGATATAAAATACACGTTAATATTACAGTAGCGTTAAGAATAACTGAACTGTGTTTACCAGTTACGATAAAGACTAGTGATGTCAGGCAGCATAATAAATAGTTTTGTACTGCCAAAAATTAATTAAAATTTATTTAATGATGAATTACTGATGGGGAAATCAGTGTAAACGTTATAAAATATTTCAACATTCAAAGACACTATTTGTGTATTTTTAAGTAGCCTATATTTTTGTGTTGACATTTTGAGAGTCTTGGTTACAAATCAAAAGCTACTGAATCAATGCGTGAGTCAGTTAAAGTCAACCAACCCTGCATGGACTGCAATAGTTTGATCAGGATGTAACATTAGCAGGTGAATGACCATCAGTTTGATCATGGCTCCTCCCAGCTGAAAGTCAGGTTTGACATACTAAACAAACTGCTGAAACCTCTCCAAGACCTCCAACACTTATGACTGAAAATGAAGTCAGGAGTGTACATCTGTGTTCTGTGTGGTTGTTTGCTAGCACTGCTACTTAAGGTATGTATACATTTCCTCTTTATTCTGACAACATGATTTTTTCCATTTAGTTTATTCAAAAACAGGCCATTTGATAAGTGTTTTACATTATTAAAAATACATTACACACCTATGGAGTGCTCCTGTAGGCTATGTGTGTTTGATGCTTGTGGTTTTTAGTCATTTTTAATTATCTATATAGCTACAGCAGGGAAAATAAGTAGTTTTTTTTTAGATGTGACCATTTGTAGAAAACATATTTCTAAAGGTGGCGTTGACTTGAAAATATCACGGGATGTTGATAACAACAAAAGAAATCTATCTATGCAAAATCTAATTAGTTAACAAATTAATTTATGTGTGGTAAAATGAAATGACAGGGAAAAGGGAACACATGAAGAAAGGAAGCTGTAAAGAGGCAGTGAAAGCACAGACAGCTGAAATCTCTCAGTAGTTGTTTCAATTGTATCTGTATGCAGCCTTTATGATGCAAGCTGAGATTGCATCACTCAGCGATGCAGTGTTAGACACAATGCACTCAATCGAATGAGTGACGTCACTGTGACGGGTAGAGTTAGGTGTGGGGTTAGGTGAGCACATTAAAAAGCATTGGATCCAGCTCAGATTGCACTGCACCAGGTCTGCATCCAGACCCCTCTCTGTTGTTTAGCAACTCTCTGCCCTTCATCATGGTAAATTTATATTAGCTGCTTCAGACCTACAGAACCATCAAGATCTTTACACTCTTGAAGTCTGTGGAAAAAAATCACCTGAGCAATGCATGTGACATCATTCTCCATATGAGAGACGTCTTTAAGCTGCCATCACCAAATATATACATATATATATATATATATATATATATATATATATATATATATATATATATATATATATATATATATATATATATTTATTTATATATTCTATTTTATACAGAGTTCGGCCAATGGAGATAATGATTTCACCTTTTTAGCAGATATGGATGAGGACGAAAAAAAGGTAAGTGGTCTGAAATTATTTTCTGGACTTCTTCAAAGCTGACATCTTAACTACAAAACCTCCAATATGACAACACCACTTTTATACAAAACAACAAAGGTAGCTGTGCATTTCCTCTTTAGTCAGACACCTTACAACTGAATTTCTTTCAGTTAGTTTATTTATAAAACAGGCCATTTGATAAGTGTTTGGTGCAGTATAAAATACATTAAACCTATGGAGTGTTTCTGTAAATCGTATACAGGCGTGTTTGATGATTGTTAAAATTAGTATGAGGTGCCGTGTAGGATTTAAATCAAACTTTGCTTATCAACACATACATAAAACACGTGTATATACACCTATAAATTACTCGCATATACACCTCTACTACTGGATGTTCAAAACAACACAGATGAAACTTGTGTATATACATGTAAACTTGACGCATGAATACACCCAAATACACACGCGCATACATATAAACTCGATCCTCACATAAACACCCACATTAACACACGCACATACATATAAACTTGCTGCATGCAAACACACTTATACACACTCACATATACATATAAACTTGATCTATGCATATACACCCATAAACTCTCATATAAGAATATAAACTTGATGTGTGCATAAACACCCAAATGACACTTGTGCAAACATACAAAATAAAATTCACAAACATATATACAGTTAGTTGTGTATATACATATATGCAAGTGATTTCATATGTGTGTATGCATGAATTTTCACAGTAAAAGGAAGTTATTTCACTTTAAAAGGAAGTAGTTTAATTTCAACGTAAAAGTCCTTTGAGCCTAATGAACAAGAATATTCTTTGTCATGAGTCATGTTATTGCAAGGCTTAAGAACAGAAATAATGCGATTAATGGAGGAATTGCATCTGTTGAATTATGAAAGTAGATTATGCTAATTCAAAAAAAATTCTAAAAAGATAATGCTAAGGAATGCTCCTGCAAAATTAAAGGTTTATTATGTAATTAAATTATTGGAAATGTTATTATGGTTTAATAAATATAAGGTTGCTTAAATAATCATTTTGAATAAAATATGTTTGTTTAATATTAGTTTTTTAGTTTTTTATGTTTGTTTTATTATTGGTGTCACTATTCGTCAAGGGTTATAATACACACTTATGTCCAGTAGGGGGCAGGAATGCACTTAAGTGGGTTTTCCTGTCACCAATAAACAGGCTAATGCACCAAAATGCTGGATGCCAGCTGCTGTAAAAATATAAGTAGTAGTTATTAAACACAAAAGGAGTGTCCAGAGAATATATATAGCTTTTCCATGGGGGTTAACTTGACCAACATGATGAGCAGAGACTTTTAATCAGCGGGGGTTTTTTATTTTATTTTATTTTATTTTGTATATGCTGAATAATTAACAATCAAAATGATACCAAAATCTTGCAATTTTGACACCCACGTTGTAAAAACATATAAAAAGCATAAAAATTATAAGAATAAAAAAAAAACAAGAAGGCTATAGGCTACATTAACATTTGGAATAGGAAAGAGGAGTTTAGTTTGAGTATACATTTATATTTATAGTTCTGGTTGTTTTTTAAACATCCTTTAAAGGTCTATCTGTCCATTTATATTTGTGTATGTAATTAACTAATTAAATTAAAAAGTTTAAAATAAAAATAAAAATCTTATTTTGAATAGTCTATTTATATTTTATTATAGATTAATATTTTATATAACATATGATCATAATTTAACATTTAATCCCTGTATTAATCACATTAATTCTATTTCATAAGCTTTGCAATAACCAGATTCGTGATAAATAACGTTTGTGAATTTTATTTATTTATTTTTGTATGTCTGCACGAGTGTTATTTTGGGTGTTTATACACGCACTGAGTTTAGGCATTGGGGCTATATGCCAGTATACGTGTGTTTGCATGCAGTGAGTTTGTGTATGTGCGCGTGTTGTTGTGGGTGTATATGCATAGATCGAGTTTATATGTAGATGCGATTGTGTATAGGTGTGTTTGCATGCTGCGAGTTTGTATGTATGTGTGTAAATGTGGGTTTTTATGCGAGAATCGAGTTTATATGTATATGCGAGTGTGTATAGGTGTGTTTGCATGCAGCAAGTTTATATGTATGTGCATGTGTGTGGGTGTATTCATGCGTCAAGTTTATATGTATATACACAAGTTTCATCTGTGTTGTTTTGAACATCCAGTAGTATAGGTGTATATAAACGTGTTTTATGTATGTGTTGATAAGCAAAGTTTGATTTAAGTGCAACACGGCACCTCATAAATTAGCTTTTTTAGTCATTTTAAATAATTCTTTATATATATATATATATATATATATATATATATATATATATATATATATATATATATATATATATATGTGTGTGTGTGTGTGTGTGTGTGTGTGTGCGTGTGCGTGTGTGTGTGCATGTATTAATAATGTTATATATGTTCTATTTTACATAGAATTCGGATAATGATTTCACCTTTTTAGCACATGAGGATAAGGAAAAGAAGGTAAGTAGTCTGTAAATATTTCTTTTAACTTCTTTAAAGCAGACATCTTAACTACAAAACCTTCAATATGACTGAAAATGAAAGCAAAAATGTTCTGTCTGTCTGTTTGGTAACACTTTTAGCATAAGGAGGGTATTACATCTCCCTTTTATCATTTTTGCCGTTTTTTAGAATATTTGAATGCTCAGATTTAAAATATTTCATCACTGTTGACCAAAATACTCACAGCCACAACGAAAAGTATCATTTATTTGTTATTTAACTTTTAATGATAATATACCACTTTCACACAAAACAATAAAAGTAGCTGTTTAGTTATTTATTTATTTTATTTTATGCACATAAAGAAGGGAATGTGCCTTCAAAAGCCTAAACCATAATAAAGCAATTATACTGTATTACACTGTGAAAAGACAAAAACATTGCCAAAATATGAAATGCTTTTTTATTGTGTTTGATCTAGACATAAAGCATAGCTGGTGTTTAAATAAATAAACCACAATGCCTCATGCACAGCCACAAAAAGCTAATGAAGCACAGCCTGTTAAATTCAATTACAGCGAGCAGCTGAGGATCTTTTTGCTGTAAACCAACTTATAAACCATAATTAATTTTTTCATTTTATTTTCCGCTTAGTCCCTTTTATTAATTCGGGGTCACCACAGCTGAATGAATCGTCAACTTATCCAACACATGTTTTATGCAGCAGATGCCCTTCAAGCTGCAACCCATCTCTTGGAATCATCCATACACACTCTTTAACACTCATACACTCTAGACAATTTAGCCTACCCAATTCACCTACCTCAAACCAGCGACCTTCTTGCTGTAAGGCGACAGCAATACCTACTGCGCTACTGCGTTGCCCACTATAATTAATTCATTCATTGAATTGATCACACAGTAAAAATTCCTTGTAAGATTTGTTGCATTACAGTTTTTGTAATTGCGTAAACCCTAACCGAGATTCTTATAGCACAATTTATAAAAAGATTCATTCTAATAGCAAAACCACTTACTGAGTTTGCAAAATTAAAAGCACAAACACTTCTCTGCACTCAGTTTGCAATTTTGTAACACACACTTTGCAAAATTGTAGGTACAATTTACTGCACAGCACTCTTTTTGTGGAACTGTAAACACAACTCACTGCTTTACACTGAATTTCCAAAAGATCAACACACTTATACACACTATACACATGTATGGCTATTATTTACACTATTTTGCCAACTGTCTGGCACACTGTCACATGTGAAAACTGTTTTAGATAATTAGTTCACTTTGTTATCAGCCAAAGTTCAGAGACCAGAGCAGACCAGATACGTCATTATATGGGACAACAATGTTAGTTTTCATAGGGCTGCTTTGGTCCACAACTGGTTTACAGATCACCCACTCTTCACTGTACCCCATACCCTCCATTCTTGAATCCAATTGAAGAGTTTTAACGCTGGAAGGTCTATGACAGTCATCCCCATCAATGCATAGCCCTTTTACAGGCAATGCAGGAGGCATGTGGGGACATTGACCGGGCATCATATCAGGCCTGGGAGAAGATATGTTCCCCGGTACTTTGGACTAGAGGACATTGCATGTGATGTTGATGTAATTTTGTGGCTGGACCCAGAGAGACGACACTATGTAGTCTGATTTTTTTTCTCAGTGAAATTACTATTTTGTATTTTGACTTGGAAAAACACTTATGTTTGTTTTGATGTGTGTAAATAAACACCGGTACTTGAAGTTTGGATCCCTGTATGTTTACAGAGCTATGAGAAAGGTATGACCTCAAACTGACATAGCCTAGCTTGTGCTCAGAGAAGGCAAAAGCCAGATGTCGTTTTTACTCATTCCATCAGTGTGTAGTTGGCGCATTGTGTGCTTATTAATGTGATGGCTTGTGTTAAATGTTTGATACAAAAATAAAATTTTTACAAAGGTTTGAAGAGTTAAGCAAGGTTTATAAGCTTTTGCAAGAGAACTGAATTGTTTTGCAAACTTGGTGAAGGGTTTTCTTATTGGTGTGTAGAGTTTTGTAAAAATAGCCAATAGTTACAAAAAAGGTGCTTAAGTGATCATAAAAAAAACTGTAAAGTTTTTATATATGTATTGTATTATGTTTTAATATTTGTTCTGGTTTCTATCCACAACAGATGACCAACAATACATTTGTAAATAATACCCAAGTAAGTGTTTTGGAGAGGATTGTTCCTCAATTATGAAATTATGTCCTCAAAACTTTTTTTTAAAAGAAAGTATCCCTTTAGTGCAATTTAATATGAAAATTTAAAGGGATGTGTACCCCAAACCTTTCTCACCATTTACTCAAACTTGTAAACTTTTATGATTTTTTTTCTTTTGTTGAACACTAAACAAGATTTTATTTAAATTGTTGGAAGCCATTGAGATTCATAGTAGGAACAAAAATTACTATGAAAGTCAATGGCTATTTTTTAAACATTCTTCAGAATATCTTAATTTGTGCTTAACAGAAGAAAGAAACTCAAACTGGTTTGGACATGTAAGATGAGTAAATAATGACAGAACTTTTCTTTTTTTGATGATGATGTTGAAGTAGCACTTTAATGAAGCAAAAATGTTGTCAAGTTTAAGTGGAATGAGTCACTCGTGTAAAGTGAAGTGTTTTACATTTTACTTTTACCAGAATGAATGGCCTCAAAACAACACACAAGACATTACTCAAGAGTTACAAAACCCTGATGACAAGTTACTTTAAATGGTAAGTCTTACTTAAATATTGCACTTTAAAGTAAAACTTGCTGAATGTTATTTGTGAAAGTTGTTTTTAAAATGTTCAACTCTTTTTTTTTTCTCCGCAGAAATAAAACAACTTATGCAAACTCAAACAAAACAACATAAAATCCTGATAAAAATAACATACCTCACTGTTTGTTGAATGATCTTTTTATCATTGCATCTGTAACAATACATCTGTGCCATACTGAATAATAAAATATTGAGATAAATACCTATAATTATAGTACAGTATATGAAATGTAAAAATAAACAGTGTTCACCAAGTTAACCAGCCTAAACAGTAATTCTGTGTATTATGACTATGTATGCTTTTTAAAAATGCTACTTTCATTATTTGGTGGAAAAAAATAATTGAAGTAATTTGTCCACTGGCTAAATTAATCCAGATTTAAAACTGAGAAAAAAAAAAACAATTATCTCAAATGAACCAATCTGATTTATTTAACGTAAATACACAAATATTTATACATTCTCTGGCCAGCTAGCCTGAAGAACTACAAATGGTAAATGTCATATAAACCTGATTTATAATCTCTTGGTTTTAAACCCTAAGATTATAGGTGCTGTGTATGGAGAAAACCAATGGTCTGTTGATAAATTCACATTACAGCATTTCAAAATAGTGCTAATGCTTACTGTTCTGTCTTTGTATTACGTCAAATTAATATCCTTTGTTAAATTTTGCTTTGCACCTGTATGGTCTGTGTACTGTCATGGTTAAGATGGGATAACCAGACCAACCCCGCAGATATACTGTATCTAAAGGGATTATTTTAACATGCCCCTAATCTAATTTGACCCGAGACAGAGGAGACTAGCGATTACCTGACCATAGTCCACACATGCATTTTTAAAAAGTGTATATTTAGATTTATATTGAGCGTGATTCAGATAAACATTTCAAATGTTATAGTTAATTGTGTGAGCTTGTTAGAAAAAAGCAACTTCACATTAGACTTCTTGATTGGCTGCAAGAACTTACAAAGCTGGACACAACCTACACCTCAGGGCAAAACACACACACACATATGAAGAGAAAGAGAGAGAGCGAGAGAGAGAGAGAATGAAAAGAAAGACAGAAAGAAAGCGAGAGTGATCTGAGGCTGTGGTTCTCTCAGCGTCTCCGCATCTCTCAGCAGTGTATAATGAGATTAACCACACGGCCTCTGCACAGGGTCAACCGCTCGGATTATCACACAACACTTTGACATCACAATCCAGACACCTGTTTTTTCTGCTCTTTTTTGGAAACTTTTGAACCTTTCATACTCTTGACTTGTCACTTCTATTGTCTTCTTGAAGACTGAAGACTTTAATTCCGACAGCTGATAGACAGGATCCTCTAGGACCATCAGCTGAAAAATGAACGGCTGTTATCTCCGGCTGAGATGAGGAGTGTATTTATAGGCTGTTGAGTTTGAGGGTGGATGATAACTTTTGAAATTTACATTTGAAAACGCAACTCAATGCCACTGTCCAACAACAAGGTCGCTGATGATGGAAGTTCGACTCAGCCACTGCAAGAGGGAAAAGCAATGGTGGACTCACTCATTAAGGTGAGTTCTTATTAAAGGATCCCTTAACTAATCAAAATTGATCATCAAGGGAAAAAACGTAAAGGAATGTTGTATTGTATGTAAGTGTAACTAATATTGTGTTCATTTAAGACCTAATATTTCAAGTCAGCAAAAATATACCTAGAAAATGTTAAATGAAGGGTTATTTTCGAATCCAGTCAGCATTCAGATTGCCTAATGTTGACTACATTAATAAATATTACAAAATAAATAAATAACAAATCTGAATACTAAATAAAAATAATAATAACATATAAATCGGATGAATTTCCCTGCATATACAGTTGAAGTTAGTATTATTAGCCCCTTTATTTTATTTTTTTCTATTATTTCCTAAACGATGTTTAACAGAGCAAGGAAATTTTCACAGTATGTCTGATAATATTTTTTCTTCTAAAGAAAGTCTTATTTGTTTTATTTGGGCAAGAATAAAAGCAGTTATTTATTTTTTAAACACCATTTCAAGGACAAAATTATAAGCCTATTTAAACTATATTTTTTCTGTCTACAGAACAAACCACTGTTATAAAATAACTTGCCTAATTACCCTATCCTGCCTAGTTACCCTAATTAGGCTAGTTAAGCCTTTAAATGTCACTTTAGCTGTATAGAAGTGTCATGAAAAATATCTGGTATTATTTACTGTCATCATGGCATAGATAAAATACATCAGTTGTTAAAAGCAACAAAATGTTTTAGAAATGTTCTAACATTTCTAACAGGATAAATATAATAATATGCAATGCTATTGAAAATAAAAAATAAATTAATATAATACATAATTTTTTGATTAATTAATAAATTAATAAATGCAATGCATAGAATATTGTACAAATATAAATAAATAGAAACAAAATGTATCTATTGTTTTTTTTTATTATTATTTTTTTTTTTTTACAATTATTGCAGCAGAAACTAATTCTCTATGATTGGGTGAAAAGTTAAATGACATATATGATGACAATCAATATTGGTTTACCATCTATCATTTGTGTAATAACAGACCTGTTAAAGATATTGAGGTGCGTGCGTGAGTGTGTGTGTGCGTGTGTGTGTGTGTGTGTCCTCATTTCTCATTGTTTTCAGGCAGAACATGAAAGCATCTTATAATGTTGTATTCATCAAGCCTTGGGGTGAAAAGGCACTATCAGTGAATAGGGATGATCTACGCACCACTGCTTCATTTTCTGCTCTGTGTGCGTGTGTGTGTGTGGGGGGGCATATTAGAACACAAATCTGTATAATCTGTATAATGTATGTATTGATAATACACAGTTATTACAAGAATTTGATAAATATGAGGACATTGTTGAAGTCCTCATTTCACTAAGCTTATAAATCACAATGAGTTTTTTTGTTAAGAAAGTAAAACTGTACACAGTTTTCTGTGGGTGTTGGTTTAGGGATAGGGTGGGGTACACTGTAAGTATGATTAGTTACTTTCTTTTAAAAAATGAATATAGACACGTTTATTTGAAAGTTGATATCACTTTTTAAAAAAGTCAGTAATTTTTGGCTTAGTCCCTTTATTAATCAGGGGTCACCACAGCGGAAAGAACCGCCAATTTATCCAGCACATGTTTCATGCAGTGAATGCCCTTCCATCCACAACCCATCACTGAAGAACCCCCATACACACTCATTCACACTAAGGCCAATTTAGCTTACCCATTTCACCTGGAAACAGGAGCACTCGAAGGAAAGCCACGCAAACATGGAGAGAACATG